TCGAGTACGCGTCTGGTGGAAGTTTAGCTGATCGGATTGGTCAAAATTCAAGGCAAGGGTTGCGAGATTTTGAGGTAAAGCAGTACGCAAAATCGATTCTGTTGGGGCTAAGTGATATTCACGGAAGAGGTTTCGTTCACCTTGATATTAAACCAGATAACATTCTTCTTGTGGGGACTGAAAGAGTAGCCAAGATTGCTGATTTCGGGTTCGCGAAGAAGGTTGGAGTGAAGAGTCAGAAAAGAAAGAGAGGACTCAAGGGAACACCTATGTACATGGCGCCAGAATCANATTGCTGATTTCGGGTCCGCGAAGAAGGTTGGAGGAGTAAAGAGTCAGAAAAAAAAGCACGGACTCAAAGGAACACCTATGTACATGGCGCCAGAATCAGTTCTTGATAACGATTACGGACCTGAAGCCGATATTTGGGCTTTCGGGTGCACTGTCTTTGAGATGGTTACAGGGAAGACAGTGTGGGATTGCAGTGAAGCTAACAACGTTGTTTATCTATTGTGCAAAATTGGAATGGGATCACCGGATTTGCAGAACAAAAGATTGTCAAAAGTGGCTGAAGATTTTCTGAGAAAGTGTCTTGTTAAGGAGCCGAGATCGCGATGGACTGCTGATATGTTATTGAAGCATCCATTTCTTTCATCTGATGATAATGTTGTTGTTCGTGAGCAGAAGCAGACAAGGAAAAAGGAACTCAACCCACTTTTGTTTGTAGAAATTGCAAGAGAAACTGATCAATTGATTGATGATATTTGCAATAGTACAGAGATGGATAAGCTGAAATACTACATTTGGAGGGCCAGGAATGAAGCAGTTTGGCTGATGAAAGTGACACGACCTCACAAGGTGCTCGAGCAAATACGGTATACTTGTAAATACAGATGCCTAGAAGCTATACGGGAAAGAAACTATAGAAGGAGACTAGTTGGATAGAGGACTTATACAAATAGTTATCGACTGGAATTGTATGATTGAATAGAGAGGTAGTAGATATTGACTAGAATTGTATCAAAATAGAGAGTTAGAAAATGTAACTGTTTTGGTTTTGGATAGAGATGTAGGAAGGGATGGGAAGTGGATATATCACATTGTAAATGTTCTGGGTTTGGAGGATTGAATAATAAAATTTATTTCCACCAAAAAAAAAAAGGTTAGGAGAGGCATAGGTAAAACACCCNTGCAAGAGAAACTGATCAATTGATTGATGATATTTGCAATAGTACAGAGATGGATAAGCTGAAACCAATGAAGTTATTGAATTACAGATCCAACAAAAGAAGGAAGCTACTAGAAGGATGCTGATTATCAGTTTTGCTAAGAATTATACAGATGTAAAGAATTATATTAATGTAAAGAACTACGTTGGGGCTTGATCCCCATAAAGCTTAGCCCGGGGTACGTAGGCAACCTGTTAGAAAACGAGAGATCAGGCGCAGCCCCTTTATTAAACAAAAACAATTTTGTGTTTATATTTTCTGTACGTAGCATTGAACAATCTGTACAAAGAGGCAGCTTTTTGCATGTAATTTTTTGCTAAGATCTGGATTTTGCTAGATTATATATTAGATTCTGTTATGTTATAAAACGGAAGAGTCTCAGGCTCCTTTGTATGTAAAATTAAACGCAATGTCTGCTAAAGGCGGGCATGCTAGACTAAAAGAAGAAGAAAGCTTCTTCACTTTCAGTACAGGCGCGGACTCCGCGATCTCTGGGTTGCCGAGGTTCCCTTTCTTCGCCTCTTAAGTTCCAGAAAAGTCGAACGCACAAACTCCAGTGAACAATTATAGTCCTGCACAACATTCAACAATGGATCAGCAGATTGATACAATGAATTATTGAAACTAAATTTGTACCTCACTATGTATGTCATTTTCCTTTTTCAAAAGCCTTTTCAATTATTTGTTACCGATCATTGCACCATTTGCCTAATAGACTTGTCAATCCAGCAATTTAGATGCACCACCACATTACCTTCATCTTTAGACTGTTAATATCCAAAACTTTTGCTTCCCAGCAATGCAGAAATAGACTCGCCACGTAGACTAATGATGTGCTGACATGTGGCATAAGAGTCAGAGAAATAAAGAAGAATGAAGGTTAGGAGAGTGAAGCAGCGGTAGCAAAATATGTATGGCATATAGCAAGTAAAGCAGACACTCTATGGGTGAAATGGGTGAATCATATATACTTGAAAGGGAGTGATTGGTGGAGCTACATTCCTCCACAGGATTGTTGTTGGTATTGGAGGAAAATATGTGCTATAAAAGATAGATATGCAGCAGGATATGTTGAGAATGGATGGCAGAGCAAGAATGGTAAATACTCAATTAAAAGTGGGTATCAGTGGCAAAGGGGGAAATGGAACCATGGACTTGGAGAAGATGGGTGTGGAACAAAATGAATAATCCAAAGCATAGCTTTATTTGTTGGCTTGCAATGCGAAGAAGGCTATTAACGAAAGATAGAACACTAAGAATGGGGATCACGCAAGACAGTGAGAGTATGCTATGTAATGGTCACACAGAATCAATCGATCATATATTTTTTGATTGCACATTCTCAAAGATGTGCTTGGAAGAAGTCTTTAAATGGCTTGGGATGAATATAAGAAACACAGAGGTGACGGGCTTATAGAGAAGAATGTCAAGAGCAGCAAAAGGAAAAATAGGAAGAGCATTCACACAAGCAGTGCTGGCAGCAGTTATATACTACATTTGGAGGGCCAGGAATGAAGCAGTTTGGCTGATGAAAGTGACACGACCTCACAAGGTGCTGGAGCAAATACGGTATACTTGTAAATACAGATGCCTAGAAGCTATACGGGAAAGAAACTATAGAAGGAGACTAGTTGGATAGAGGACTTATACAAATAGTTATCGACTGGAACTGTATGATTGAATAGAGAGGTAGTAGATATTGACTAGAATTGTATCAAAATAGAGAGTTAGAAAATGTAACTGTTTTGGGTTTGGATAGAGATGTAGGAAGGGATGGGAAATGGATATATCACATTGTAAATGTTCTGGGTTTGGAGGATTGAATAATAAAATTTATTTCCACCAAAAAAAAAAAGAAAAAAAGAAGAAGGTTAGGAGAGGCGTAGGCAAAACACCTACGGGATTGTTTACAGAGAAGCCACATCCGATAACTAGAAAAGAAGAGATAGGCGCGGGATGCACAATTAATTAATTAATTAAAGACTATGAGGAAGGAAGACTCATTAATAGTCACGAATATGGAAAGAAATCGATATAATCCTTGATTATGCGCGATTAGCTATTATTACCATAATCGTTACACATTATCCAAGTAACCGCAATCAATATAATAAATATTAGTAGCGGGTAAGAATTAAGTAGAACAAAGCAGTTACAGATTGTACTTTTATATAAATCCCTTTACCATATTTTGTATGATCATCAATGAATCCATGAAATAATATTGTCAATTGTCTTGAATAAGCACCCTCTTCGTTGAAATCTTCTCTTCCAAATGCCTCAAGAACTCTGTTCTTGTATTCAACAGAATTTCTTAGTAGACAAACCATTGATTCCCAGATATTCTTGTTCAAAGAGTCACCAACATACAGTAATAGCTTTCCTCTCAAAAGTTCCAACATTTCTTTGGCATTCAACCTGAAAAAGTAAAGTAATACAATTTCACAAAATGAGCATTCTTAGAATTAAGCCAAACAATTCCGTATAAAAGGCAGGTTGATATACTAAATTCCTACTATATGGCAATGGGTTGGAAAAGGGTCGGACTATATTGGGCTTATTATATGCAGCCTATTGTTTTCGTTGCTTAAACATGTGACCTTCTAGCTATATGGCAGCAACTTTATCTTGCACCAAGGCTCCCCTTCAAGCTTACCAATGCATTGTAAAAACTTGCCAGCCCGATGAACTAAGCTTTTTCTCTGTGCGGGGTCCAAAATGAAATGAAAATTCTGGTTTGAATTCTTAGTTTTCCAATTAAAGAAATGACAAGCCAAATCCAATCCAAATAAGCTTGGATTGGATGGGATTTTTTAAGTTTGATTTTGGATTAATGGGTGGGATATTGGACTTTTTATATTGTATATGGATAATGGACTAAATATAAAATATCCAAAAATTCCAAATATCACATCCAACATCCAATCTGAAATTCAAAAACTTTAACAATTAAATCCATAATCCGAAGATTTAAACAAAAAATGGATTTTGGTTTGGAGTTTAGGTCCATCGATTTAAGCTGTGTGAAAATCATGTTACCCCTCCAACTTTATTTGAAAAAACAAAATCCTTCTCAATTTTTAAGCTATAGACATTTCTCCCTTCCTATTCTAAGGTTTTTATTGAATTTGCCCTTTACATTTTTTTTTGATAAACTGGACATTTATTTCATAGAAATAGAACTAGGGGTTACAAACGATATGATCCTGGGGATTATTACTAGTGGTTGATAATCCATGCATGGCATGCTGATTACCAATTCTTGCTAGATGGCTACAAGTAGCAATGGAGACAGTCCTTACATAAACATTTCTACCCTCATCCGCCAGCATCCTGGCCATGACAAAGGGTAGAGAAAAATACAAAAGTCCTGAAATTATACTGTATCACCACCGTGCCCATTTGGGATAAAAGCAACCTGCATGAGTAAATAATAGAGTCATAAGTTATGCATCCCTCTTTGATAAATTCAATTACCTGTGTGGCATCCGTTTCTATTTCCAAATGAAATAAGCTCCTTTCTTTTGTAATAAGTAGCCCTTGGTAGAGGGCCATGAGTTACATGTGGATTGGAGCTCTTGAAATTAATTTCATAGTGAATCCTAAAGTTCAATCTCCCTTTTGATTCGTAAAAACACCTCATAGGCCTCCAGTAGCATCATTTCTATTAAAGGCTCCGTCAATGTTTAGTTTGTACCAAACTGGACGAGGAGGAATCCATTAGAATTTTATTTCAATTTTCCTATCCCAATTGGATTCACACTCCGTTAGTAACTTATATTCAATGACCTAGTTCATGATTCATTTTAAGGAGATAGTGTTAGAGTTGTTGTTTATATTATTATTATTTCTATTTAGCCATAAATTCCATATAATGCATGAATGGAAATAAGTTGTACCATGAAAGAAGTCTATTGGTTAGGGGAGGGTTTTTATTATGAAGGTATGATAGCCAATTGTCCCTGTTTAGTTGGAAGTTTGTTGTGCTAATGCCTAATTAGTTCCAAAGGATTTGAGCAATAGAGCAATTAAGAAAAATATGGTCAATTATTTAAGGCTCTTTGCGACATATTGTGCATTGTTCATTGATATTCATACTTATATGAGCTAGGTAGTTTTTACAGGGTAATCTATTATGGAAGCGTAGCCATAGAAAATATTTTATTTTTTTAGGAANAGGACAATGCAACTTCCATATCTAATTACAATTTACTGATATGAGCAAGTTATTTTCTATAAGATCATAACAAAATTTTGTAGAGAAAGAACCATCTTTATTGATGTCCATATTAGGGTGTCTTTGTTACTATCTGGGGGTACAAAGGTAAAAATAATTTTTTGGTGGATCTTCAGATGGATATTGAAGGAGATTTCATTGAGATTCCAATTGTTATTAGTTCTAATGTTACTAATATGAGGGAAGATTCTTGTTTGGTCGGGGACATATCACATAACTTCTAAGGTTATTTGATTTTGGTATCCACTTATTTTCCCAAATATTAAGAGAAGAAGAGTTGTGGGTAGACCATGTCATACCTTGTTGGCAACTTGTCCATCTTTTGATAATACTTTTTCCAAACGAAGGAGGCATTTTGACTAGGTCTAGAAGAATATTTTGTTATTAGATTTTTAGCCCACAAACTCATGGAATTATTGGCTAATCTCCATGCTAGGGTGGCTAGGAGGGCTTAATTTTTTGTTCTAGCTTTCCTTAAA